CAGCGGCATCGGTGACGGCAGTGCCGAATTGTCGGTTGGTGCCGAAATTGTGACGCGTGGCTGGTTTCGGGCCGCATTCGTCGCTTCGGGGTGTGTCGTGTCGTGGTCGTTGTCTCCGTCGGGGCGGACGACGCCATCACTGACCGCGCTCGCGGGTTGCCCCACGCTCCCGTGTTGTGATGCTTGTGGTGCGGGCTGTTCCGGAGTGCCAGGTGCTTGAGATTGTGCTTGTTGTGCTCGTGTGAGATCATTCTGCAGGGACGAGCGTTCTGCCGTCAGCGTCGCGATTTCCTCGGCGCTCTCGCGGATTTGCCGCAGCAGTTCGTTCAAGTGCTCCTGCGTGAGAGTCGTGATATCAATGTGCTCGGCCATTTCGAAGGGTGTCGGCTCGTCTTAGTCTAGGCGCAGTCGTGGCTGCACGCGTTTACGAGAGAACGCGAGGACAGCGGCTCCTAGGTGCTAAGGTGCGTGAGTCCCTTCGAGTGAAAAATCAAAAGTTGATTTCCTGGGTGCGGAGATGCGCGGTCCGAAAAGGAAAGAGGCTCTGAATACCAAGTGTTACGGGTGCAATGGATCGAGGTAGCGAGGATTGCACTAAGGTGTCAAACGAGTACAAAGATGTGAGCGAAGGCATGAGCGAATATTTATACGCGAAACATGCAAACGGTAACGCGGTGCATGCGAGCTAGCTAGTGCTATGCTGGCAGCGAGGCTCGGGCTAGTCCCGAGGCGTAGGCCGACGCGGCCCGGCCAGCAGTGCGAGGTTTGGCAAAACAATGCGCGCGAAATTGGCGAAGCCCCGTTAGCAGTAACGGGCGAACAACGGCTGTTGCTGTACGCGATGTAGTCGGGCTCCGTAAGGAATGCCGAGAAAATTCCTTACAACTAGCAAGCACATAAACGCCTATAACTCTCTCGTTACTTAGGCGAATCGCGTGCTTGACGGCTTGTTGGAAAGCCAGCAGAGTGCTCTATCGTTAGGGAAACTCCCAGTTCCTGCAAAGTAGAGGAGAGTCCTCTACATCAGTGGTATCAGAGCTGGTCGGAGGAGTCTACGCACGCGACAAGGAGCAAGCATGCCGACTTCAAGCGAGGCCTCCCGCACTTCCTTGGATGGTGTCGTTGTAAATTCCGGCGAACCCTGGGCAACCGCGACGATGTTCGACACGTCGGCGGTACCGATTTTCACGGGACAAAACTACTCCGCGTGGAAGTTTAAGTTCCAAGTGCTCATGATGGAACGGGGACTTTGGGGTTTCTTCGATGGAACGGAGAAGAAGCCGGACAACGAGAGCGACATCGCGGCATGGAAGAAGAAGGACCAAAAGGCGTTCGCTACGTTGATTTCACGCATCGGCATCAATCTCGTGAGCTCGGTGCGCATGTGCATCAAGCTCGAAGCGTCGGCGCATGAAGCGTGGAAGCGGCTCGAGACCATCCACGTGAACAAGACTCTCCACGGCAAGATTCTAGCCCGGAATGCATTCTACACGGTGAAGATGCGCGCGGGCGAATCGATGCACGAGTATGCGACTCGTGTGGAGGAACTCGGGGAAACGTTCATGGACCTCGGTGGAATGGTCACGGAGGAGGATTGGATTTTGACATTGCTATGCGGCCTTCCGGAAGAGTGGTCGACGGTGATTACGACACTCGATAGCGTGCAAGACACTTGGACGAAGGAAATGGTGGTCGGTCGGCTTCTCCATGAAGAATCGCGTCGCCGACAATTTGCGAATGAGAGCAAGGGGACCGCCATGTACTCCGGAGGGAGTTCCGGAAAGAAGTCCAAGTGGAGCAAGGGCGCAACGAAGGAATCGTCCGGTGGGAGCGAGCATCGCGGCAAGTGTCACTATTGCCGCAAACCGGGACACTTTTGGCGTGAGTGTCGAAAGCGGCCGAGCGATTGGACTCCATCGATGGCGCGGGACCAAGAGGGCAACGCGCACACGGCATCCGGTGAGGCCGATGATTCAAAGGAGTCGCTCGTGTTAGTGGCCGGCAACGGGAACAAAACTCCAAGCGATGCGTGGTTCCTCGACACCGGCGCAACGCAACACATGACGCACTCGGCATCGTTCCTCACCAACGTTGGTGCACCAGGAGACGTTAAATGCGTCGTCTTCGGAAACAACAAGTCGCTACCGGTGGTTGGAGTTGGGAGTACGCGTCTCATTGTTGATGGCGGACCGGTTGACATCACGAACGTGCTTCACGTCCCGGGATTGAAGGTGAATCTACTCACCGTCACTCAACTCGCGAAGAAGGACGTGAAGTTTACCATTGATGGCGCGACGATGAACCTCTTTTGGAAGGGGAAGCAATTCGCACAAGGCGTTCTCAACGGAGAACTCTACCAACTCAAGACGCACCCGGGAGCGGCTTCATCCAACGTGGCGCAAGGCTCCAAGGCGACTCTCAAGGCGTGGCATAATAGGCTTGCGCACGCCAACTACGAGTCGGTCAAGGAGTTGGCCAACAAAGGACTTGCGAAAGGAGTCGACGTGATTGCCGGCGACGACGAGAAGGGCGTGTGCGCGGCGTGTGTCGAAGGAAAAATGGCTCGCAAGCCATTTGGTAGCCGTACCTCTCCCCTCGCTAAGGACCCGCTTGCGCTTGTTCACATGGACGTGTGTGGACCGATGCGGCATGCATCAAAAGGAGGAGCGCGGTTCCTCTTGGTGATACTCGACGACGCGACGCGGATGTGTTGGACCCGACTCTTGAAGGCTAAGGGCGACGCGGCCAAGGCAATACAAGAGTGGGCGCTCGAAGTTTGCGACGGCGATAAGAAGTGGATCAAGTGTATTCGCACCGATGGTGGTGGCGAATTCGTGAACGCGGAGCTTGAGAAATGGATGAAGAGCAAAGGCATTAAGCATGACGTCACAACACCCTACACACCCCATCAAAATCGAGCGGCGGAGCGGCTTAATTGCACGTTGGTGGAAGCCGTTCGTTCACTACTTCAACACTCCAAGCTTGGGAACGAGTGGTGGGGAGAGACGAGTGCGCTAGCGGCATGGATTCGTAATCGTTTGCCAACAAAGGTGCTCCCGGGAACGACTCCGTTTGAAGCATGGAGCGGAACGAAGCCGAACCTATCCCGCCTTCGCACCTTTGGGTGCCTTTGCTACTACCATGTACCGGATCCTCTTCGCCACAATTTGCAACTGAAAGCTCATGCGGCGATCTTCTTGGGAGTTGCGTCAAACGAGCGTGCATGGCGAGTGTGGGACTTGGGTGAAAAACGCGTTGTCATGTCTCGGGATGTGGTCTTCGACGAAGACAAGTTCCCGGCAAAAGAGAAACCAACTCAACAAGTCACCTTCATCCTTCCGGCACGAGAGGAGGTTGAAGAAAGTGAGGTTCTACCTCAAGTGGAAAAGGAAGCCGAAAGTGGAGGGGGAGAGAACGAGGAGAGTGACGACGATGTGGTGGAGGTGCCACCAACCGAGGCGGCAACTTCCTCCACACCTTCCTCCCTCCCATTGGCGTTGACCCGCGAGCAACGTACACGTCGCCCCAACACGAAGTACAACGACTACGCTACGGTAGCCGTTGGGGAGACGGATAAGGAGGGCGCGGCATTTTGCTTCGCGACGAAGGGTGATGATGAACACGCGGAATCTCTCATTGAACCACCCCCTAAAGATCCATCCCGTACGTCCTACGAGCATGTTGGATTGCACACCTAGTGGGTTGGGTGCAAGGGGGAGTGTTGGAGGTCGCGTGAGTTAGAAGCAAACGGTGGTGGGGCAATTGATATGCCCCCAACCCACCGAATGTGTTTCTGTGCTCACCGCTTGAGTGAGCTGCAGGTTTTCACGAAGTGTGTGGATTGACTTCGGAAGACCCACTCGATTGGTGCCACATGGCAACACAAGAAGAAGCGAGACTCAGGGAGAATTCGATTCGGTGAAATTCGAGAGTCAAATTTCACCCCTTCGATGTTACTCGAACATTCGAGTGTACCGCGGTTCGAGGTTACATGTGCGATTTGACGTTTTGCAGTTCATATAAATGTGATTGCTTTGGGATTGCATGAATCATACTGAAAACCTGAATCACTTTGTATGTGATACACTCGACTACAAAATCCAGAGAGCTCCTATCCTTTGTTCTAAAGAGCACTAGCAAGCACATAAACGCCTATAACTCTCTCGTTACTTAGGCGAATCGCGTGCTTGACGGCTCGTTGGAAAGCCAGCAGAGTGCTCTATCGTTTAGTGAAACTCCCAGTTCCTGCAAAGTAGAGGAGAGTCCTCTACATCAAAATAAAGGGAGGCGAGGCGCTGTTCACGTAATCGCCATGGCGGCGCACAGAGGAGGCTGCTGATGTCGGAATGAAAAGCTGAGTGAGCCTTGTTGGGTAGTCCGCCTGTCGGAGCCTTGGGGACATGGGGGGTTTTTGAGGGGGGGGGGGGGGGGGGGGGGAGGGGGGGTAGGGGGTGTGGGGGTTTGAAGGGTTTTGAAAGGTTGTCTAGGCTAAGCCTGTCGAGAAGCAGGGAGGCGAAGGGTTGCCTGTCGACAGGCTAACCCTGTCATGACAGGGTTTGCGGTAAGCAAGGGAGATGGCTCGAACAGGGTAGCGGCTTTAGAGGGGTGTGGGATGAGGTGCTGAGAGAGATTTCGGAGGGCCTTATTATATTTGACCCTATGCCGGGGGAGTGGGATGACTGGGAAGGGTGGGGTAGATGTAGAGGAGTAAGGGCTGGCATGTTTTGAGAATTGGAGTAAAAGATGTTTCTCCTGGAAGGATTAAATTAATTCCACTTCCTCTTATGGCATGCCGTGCGGCAATTTACACCGAAGCCAATATTACGCCTGAAATGCTCGTAGCTACGATCCTATTCTACTTAAGAGAGAAGAAGACAGCCAGTGCGGAGCATGTCACATCAACCCAATCCCAACCCTTAAGCCAGTGGAGTCCAACCTCTATGCAAGCTTTCTGATATCAAACTTATAACAATGATGTTAAACTATATTCGAATCCTTTGCTAGAACAGTTGCACCGGAACCTGTGCTTTGAGGTTCCTCTTGCAGTCGGACGAGACGGAGCTTCCGAAGTAGAGCGTCTGGCCCTTGTCGCCGTCCCTCACTGTGTACGAGTAAAAGCCGACGTACGACGCGTAGCTAAGGGTCCTTGCAAGCGTGAAGTCGCACACGGAGTAGCTCGCGCCGTCGCTAAACATTACCACGTTGTGAGGCATCATCCACCGGAAAACTGAAGGGTTTGACGGGGGACCATGGGAGAATTGCGGCGGGGTTAAGAGAAATCGTAGCTTCGGGAGGGCGAAAGAAGTTACTCGCCGGAGTAAGCAGAAACGTGAAAGCGAAAACGTGGTAATACTAAAACCTCGGATGTCGAGGAAAAATACTCAAAGTCACGTGACGGCAAAACGGACATACTGGGGAACAGACGTGTGACTCTAAATCAATATCGTTCGCACTTATATCAGAACCACTGCGACTGACCAAGCTGGTCGCCGGCGTAGACTTTGGGCGCCTTCCACTTGCTGACGCCGAACGTCCACGGGCTGAACACCTGCCCGAACAACGACCCGAAGCCCTTCCCCACCACGATGTACTTCGCGTCCGCCTGCATCGCGCCTGGAGAAAACGCGGCAAGAGAAAAAAACAAACCGAGAAAACCAAAAACACAAGTTGCAGACTCGGAGAAGGAAAAACAAAACGGAAACGGCATCCATCACAGGGTCGCGCGCACAATTCTGCCACGTCAATTTCGCATCGGCTTGAGGATTAGTAATTCGAACACTGCTCATGGCATGAGTGACTGCAGTGAGCTGGAAAATCAGCGGATGGAAGGATGGCGGAGGAGCTTGACGTCTAATACTTTCTCCGGTCGAACGACAGTTTTGTCTACGCGTTGTGTTTATGATTTAGATGATGCTCGACTTACCTATGAGCATGAGGCACAGGAGAAGGCACACGTGTCGCCTTGATGTTGCCATTTCGTTGCGACAAGGATAGTGGCTCTAGCTGAAATGGTATCCAAAGTGTGTTTGACAAGCGCAAGAAGCTTAGATAAGCTCGTATGACAAAATCGCGATAATGAACCTGAGATATCACAAGATTGCTGCGTGAGTTGAGACGAACTCAGCTTTTGTAGTTGGGACGATATATCCTTGTGTCCGATTGTCTTGATGATGGGGGGGAGGTGCTTGATTCTGGATGTGTGCATGAAAGATGCATCTGCCTGAGGGCAAGAACAGGTGCCATTTTCTTGCTATGCACCGCCAAATCTTGAACCTCTTCGCCGCCCATCAAAACTTTCGCCAACAATAGCTGATGCGCACAACAAGGAAACGAAGCGGGATACATCAAGTCGTGAAGCTCGCAAGCGTATTATGCGAACAACGCGATGTGCAAGGGCAATGATGGCTGCAAGATGTACTTGCGTAACAATGTTGCAAATGTAAATCTGTTGCGGCTCGGAAGCAGCCGAGTCGCCTAGACACAAAAACTCACTGCTGCTAGTGCAAGAAGCATCATGGGTTTTGTGTAGGCGTTTATAGAATTACCCTGGTAGACTTTTTTCCCTCCCTGAAACACCGGCTCCACCTATTCCTCGCGTGATGCTTCTCAGAGCTCCTACTCGCCGCTTGAAGGTGCTATTCATAACTCCCCTCCCTTCCCAACACCTTTGCTCTCTTGTTACGACTTGCGAGATCTATTGTTAGTATGAACCCCATCGGTTCCAGAACCTAACCTTCAGCAACCATGAGAGAACCCAATCACTTCGTCGGCCATTAGTTGCGTTGCCCGAGTCTCTGGGTACTTACGATTGGGATTTGCTGGTATGATTTTAAAAGACCAAAGCTCCAGTTTTAATTTGTTCGGAACCCAGTTGCGAGTCTCTTTCATCACTTGGGCATTCCAAAACGGAAAGAGTTGAAGGTAAAGTACACTGGACTATTGCTGCTGCTGTCGGGTGGTCACCGACAATGGGTGAGGCCGCAATGGTCGGCGTGGCTTCCGCTGTCGCTGCAAAGCTGAACCACCCGCAAACCAACAAGCCAACACAAAGCTTCCACGTAAGCTTGGTGTGTCACAGAATGTGGGAAGGGCCGCATACGCGTCATTGCAATTGATGAATGAGCTCACCAACGCGGAAGCTGGCGTGATTCCTTTTCCCCGCACAGTGACTAGCATATTATTATAAGATTTGGCACAAAAACAATTGGAATAAAACACAAATAAGAACATTATTTCACCCTGTTTATCGCTATACTGGAGTGTACGGAACTGCCTGTGGCGCCTTGTTTCATTGGAATTGGCTAATTGAACCACCGGAACATAATCGAACCACCTTTCACCGTGCTTTTCCACTCCTCCACTATACTGGAATCCACTATGGTGAGAAAGAGGGTGTGGAGAGAGTGTAGTAGATGCAGAAAATAAGGGGCAACAAATTTTCGACTCATGTGATGATTAGTAATCAATCTCAGAACCACTACAGCAACTCACTGAGCTTGTCGCCGGCGTAGACTTTGGGCGCCCTCCATTTGCTCACGCCAAACGTCCACGGGGTGAAAATCTGCCCGACCAGTGATCCGCTGCCCTTCCCCACCACGACGTACTTCGCATACGCCTGCATGGCAGCGCCTGGAGAAAGCCCAGCACAGAGAAACAAGAAACATGGATATGCAAAGAAGCACAAGAAAATGATATATGTATACATATATTATCTTAGCATCGGCCTCGCATCACTGGAACAAAAAATCTGAGCGTGGGTTAGGTAAGAACAGCTCGAAGATGGAGGGACATGTGTGCAAAACTTCCGCAAACCGAAAAAATGTTTAGTTGAAGCGTTGCGTGCGGGATCATAAACGAGACTCAATTTACCGATAAGCATCAGGCACACGAGAAGGATCACGTATCGCCTTGATTGCCCCATTTCGTTTCGCGTCGCGACACGGAATATGAGTCAAACTTGGTAGTAGTAGAAGGTTGCTTGACAAATGCAAGAAGCACACCAATGCTGCACGACAAGCCCATCTTGTATTGGGACGATCCGTCCGACTGCCTTGATGCTTCCACACCCAGGCGTCAAACATGCGGGTGCCTGCCGAGAGATACCCTTTAGGAACGGAATGGGATATTCTTTCACTGCACCGCGTCGGCCATTTCTTGGACGGCTTTCGCCATCCATCAGGACGTTGCCCCAGTGTGCCCCACCGATGCGCGACGCGCGCAACGGAGATGCGAAGCGGGTTATTTGCGCTCGTTGCACTTGCAAGAATGCATGGGTAGCAACGCCGCGAGTGGAATCCTTCAAACGTGGAGTGTTTTTGCAACGCTGGCTATTATGGCTCCAGATGTTTCTTGCAAAACAATGGCCCTGATCGGTTGCCCTAACTCCGAGTAAAGAGGGTCCACCGATCAGAGCCAGTGTTGCTCATGTACATCTGTAGCGCTCGGTGACAGCCGAGTCGCCAGGACAAAGGCCTGGGCATTGTACAGGCGTATATTAAATTCCCGTGATAAGACGTCCTCACACCCTAAAACAGCCATGTCATTCTGTCCTCCGCTTTGATTGCTACTGTACACCGAAGTTGCTCTTCGCTCCTCAGCTTTCCTCGCCAAAGAAACGAAATTGCCCGCACGTCTAGCGTGCCCCCACAGCTCAGCACTCGTTCAACCCCCTTGACTTTGAACCGACCAATCCCCTTTTAACTTTCTGGCCTTGAGCTGCGTCGACTTGTCAGCCAGCCGTTCAGGGCTTCGTATAGGGGACTCGTGCCTCAGCTTTGTAAGTTCCATTTCTCAGTTGCAATGCAAACCCCTTCCCCCTGCCGCTGCCTGCCGTACTTGTGACGTGGCGTCTGAATGGCTACCGACGACGGGAATGCCACCCACAAACGAACAAGCCAACGTAGGGTTTCCACGTCAGCTTGCTGTAATTTTGCTTCACACAAGCCCAGCTAATACGCGTCATTGGATTAAACGGTTTGGCAACTAGTGCGACATAGGGTATCTCCAAAGAGGTCACCTATGGTCATCTGTTGCAAATGTTCATTTGTTACCCCTGACATATCAACGACCGAAGCCAGGAACATCCAAAACATGTCCCCGCAGCCTTGCAAAGTAATCTCCACACGGCCGATCACAAGCGTGCACCACCACCACCACTTGTCTCCCTGCCACGCACAGGCAGACTGAGCTCTTCCCCTGGGGGCAACGGTGCAAAGAGGTCGGAGACGGTGCGCGCCGATACCTGGGAGAGCTGAGCCGGATTCCACTGCACAGTGACACAACTCACCACAGATGTCAGAAAGGATACGACAAAAGTTCTGCCACCACTCACACCTCCCAACAAAGCCCAAACATCCCCGTCCAACTGTCCTCTTTCCACGGCACTTTAACAGCAACGTCTGAAGACTGGAATTTGGATTATGAGCATCACAACACTTACACAGCACACGCCTAACACCCTCATCAGCATCCCTCGCACCCTCATCAACATCCCTCCCCCTCCTACAATTTCCTCCCCCACCCACATTGCCTCTATCTTACCGTGGGCTTCCATCCCTCTCCACCAGAACTGCCCACAACAATACCAACAACTGACCCCCAACTCCAACCACGCAAAGGCACGTCATGCCAAACCTCACCCTCTCCTCATCCGCCTCCCTCTCGTTCCCATCTTTCCCCTCCCTCTTCCTCTCCCTCTTCACTTCATGCCATACCTCACCTTGGGATTGCCATCCTTTTACACCAACACAGCCTGCACTCCCTCAGTCTCCCTCCTAAGAAATCCATTCTTACAGCCTCGTTACACTCCCCTACTTTCCTCCCTCCACCTACATTTCTCTCACCCACCCACCTTAACTCAGTCTCACCTTGGGATTGCCATCCTTATCCACCAGCACAACCTGCACTACCACATAGAAATCCCCCGTCACTGCCTCGTTGCACTCCCCTACTCTCCTCTCCCCTTTCCACCATGCCCCATTCTCACCTTGGGATTGCCATCTTTATCCACCAGCACGGCCCGCACGCCCTCATAGAAATCCCCCGCCACCGCCTCGTTACAAGCGCGCACGCTTAGCCGATACTCCTTCTGCAGGCCCTGTGCCCGACTCCCATCCCCTAAGTTCCTAAGCATGCCCAGTGACCCACTGACAACCAGACTCCAGCCACGACCAAACCCCAAACCCCATCAAACTCACACCCCGAACCCCCCCCCACCAGATTCTGTGCCCTCTCCATTCCACTCCACTCTCCCTCTCCCGCTTCCTGGTTTTATCTTGTGTCCCTTGCAGGCTCACCTTGGGATTGCCGTCCTTATCCACCAACACGGCCCGCACACCTTCATAGAAGTCCCCCGTCACCGCCTCGTTACAAGCACGCACGCTCAGCCGATACTCCTTCTGCAGACACTGCACCAGATTCTCCATTCTGCCGTCCCTCACACTCCTAAAAGACACTTTTAGCGCCGTCGGCGACATCTTTGAGAGCAGCGCGTGGGTCTCCTTCGCCCACGCTGCATCGTCAGCACTCCACCCCGGGTGCGTCGCTGACGTGGCAGACGCGTGATTCAAAAGAGCGGTGAAGACTCCCTCCACTGTTCTTTTACTGAAACAGGCGTCGATCGCAGCAGCCCTCGCTATAATCCCCCCTTTAGTGGGAAGCACACGTTCGGCATGCTCCTGAATGGCCAGATGGATCGCTTCGGGATCTCCCGTGCCTAGGCACCCGAGCCTGTTCTCGAGGCTCGGCAGCCGGTCCGAAGGTACAAAGTGGGTGGCTAGGCCCAAGGCAAGCATGTCAGGTGCGGGCACCCGGGCCCCCGTTAGGGCTAAGTACTCGCCTGGGAGGGATGGGGGAAGTATTGAACGGGAGGAAGGGGAAGGGAGTGAGAAACAAGGGAGATGGGTTGTAAGCGGTTCAGGGTGTTGTTGGTACGGATACTGGATTGTGTTGCAGCGACTTGTGAATTCAGAAGTTT